AATAATTTAATCACTCATAATCCTCTTTCTTAATTTAAAACGCTAGGTAATTTTAGGTGTGTCTTCAAAAGTTGACCATGTGTTCTTGCATGATCCTTGGTTAATATCAATGATTAAAATAGTCATGTGCACATTCCCCGCTCCTTGACTCTCTAACTAACAAATTGTGTTTCGCCATGTGTTCATACTCGTTCCTTGGTTTAAACGCACTTGATAAAAAGACCTTGTGTGCTTACACGCTCCTAGGATGAAATCAATAAAATTCGATTAATTATTAAGTGGTGCTAGACAATAGAAATTTAAGGCAAATAAATCACAGTTTATCCAGAATTAATTCAAGCCAAGTTTATGTCAATAAAGCAACCGTGCTAGAACCTGGGACTCGGGGAATGCCTTACACCTTCTCCCCGATCAACAGAATTCCTTACCTAGACTTTGTTTTTGTAGACCAATAATAATAGAGTCAAATCTTCCTTTGATTAGGCATTCAAATAAAAGGTGACTTGGAACACCCAAAATCAATTCCAAGTGACGACTCTGTAAATAAAACAATCCTTACTCAAATTTGTCACTTTAATTGGAAAAACTCTTCAACCCACAACCCATATACATATCTTTTCTCAAGGGTAAAAAGGAGGTGTGACAGGAGTAACATGCAATTTATGCTCTTCAAAGAGTGTGTCGACTTGCTATTTAAGCTCATATTTGGAGGAGCTTTGCAACTTGAAGATTTTGCTCAAATTTGAAGAACTTAATGACATGCAGTTTAGGCTCGTGCGTCCAGGAGCATAGTAATTTGAAGATTTAGCTTAAATTTTAAGAGCTTCGTGACTTGAAGATTTAGCTCAATGTTGAAGAGCTTTGCAACTTGAAGTTTGGCTCGAATTTGAAAAACTTTGCGACTTGAAGTATTTGCTCGACTTTGAAGAGCTTTCGACTTGAGTCTTTGCTCGAATTTGAAAAGCTTTGCGACTTGAACACTTTGCTCAAATTTGAAGAGCTTTACAACTTGAAGACTTTTTCCAAATTTGAAGAGCTTTACGTCTTATAGATTTAGTTCAAATTTTGGGAGCTTCGTGACATACAATGTAGGCTCATGTGCCAAGGAGCCTTATAACATACACTTTATGCTCGTCCATTGAGGAGCATTATAACTTGCAGCTTAGGCTCGTGCGTTGAGGAGCATATTGACATGAATAGACTCTTCAGTTTCATTTTCGGATAAAAACTTTCCCCCATCCTCGCCTTCTTGTTCTTCTTCTTCGTCGTAAGGCTCAAAGACAGGTAGCTCTAGGTTTCCACTATACTTAGTTCCTATCATGAGCATGAGTTGCTAGTGCTTCAAATGTGTTTAGGCTTTATGCCTTGTAAGATACACCGAACACCCCAATGCATGCCTTGAATGTATATTTCGATGCCAAAAATTCCTCGAAGGCGATCTTTGCAGTTGAAGCTTAAGGTCCTCCAGTGGTTGATGAAGTCAATAACTGGCTCATCCTTTCGTCGATGAGCTTTTGTAAGTTCGATCATGCTTATGATGCATCTTGTGCTATAGAAACTATTGAGAGACTCTTATTCCAACAGCTCCCAACTATCGATGGAACCACATTCGAGATCTATGTACCAATCAAATGCATTACCTTTGAGAGATAGAATAAACCGTTTAACAAGAAAATCTTCATACGTTCTAGCATTGTTGCAAGTTTCAACAAAGTGTGCTACATGTTGTTTCGAATTTCCCATGTCGTAACTGTTGCAACTTAGGACGTTGATAACTAACATGCATCTTTAAGTTATCAATTCTTTGCGTATACAGCTTTGCATATATGAGTGATATTTTAGACGACGACTCAGGATTATCTTTGATAGCCCCATGATGAAGTCCTTCAATTTCTAAATGGGAATCAAACCTTTAGCAGAGACTTGGATCTCCTTGGTTGTTGTTTCTTGCTTTTCGTAGGAGTCTCCTTTCTCTTGTAACCTTTGAAGATTTAAAGGTGCTTGTGTGGATTCTCCTTCTATCTATGCTATCCAACTTATTTTTTAACTTGGAAAGTGTAGCATCTTTATCTTGCACGCGCTTTGACAAGCCTTCAATGACTTTCGTCAAATTTTCAAGTTGTTCTTCTATGGTAGAAGCTTCAATAACCATTGCTTACATGATCGCCGTAGAGGATGAAGAATGATATGGGTCATTATTGGGATAGAGCTTAGAGGTCGCATTAATGGAGACTACGGTAGATCCAACGTTCAAGTCATCATAATCGGCATGCATAAAAGGTTTCTTGGACATGGATGAAATAAGTTGGGCAAGAACCTTTTCGAGCTGTTCGGCGACTTCATTCCCTTTTTGGGTCGTCTTGTAAAGGATCTTACTCATTTTGAGGACAAAGATTCGAAAATGGGGGTTGATGCGGACAACACTTGGAGTGCTTGTTGTCCTAAAGATCTTGCTTTACTCCTTGTAACCAGCCCAAAGCTTCCAAAGGTAATATTATCTTTCCACATCAGTATAGAACTTGAAATTAGCAGTCTTAATGGAAGTTGATCTAGAGTTGATTTTCTGTGACGCCAGTTCGATATTCTTGAACTTTCGTGATTGAAAAGTTGAGATGCGAGGTAGAGATTGTCCCACTGTGCGTGCCAGAATTTGTAGAAAATAAAATTGCATCAAGAAAATAAAATCAAGACCGAAAAATATTACAACAATTGTAATATTTGATTTCAAGTAGTATGAGTGTATAATCTCTATGAATCCCCTGATTCTTTTTTTCAATAGTAAATAAATTTAAGGGCCTTTGAGCTTGATCTTGAATCTATATTTTTTGCCACGAACGGTGATCTTGAATTCAACTAGCACGACCATTGATTTTAATTCTTACTCCTTGAATCTTGATTTGTTCTTTGTTCTTGAGCTTGAACTTGAACTTGATTGCTTGAAGCCTGAAACTTGTAGAGAAATTTATGGCATTTGATCCACGAGCTCTCTCTTGATTTTTGTTATAACTTCTGGTCTCTGTTCTGGGTTATGCATACCCATATTTATAATTGTAGAAGAGAAGAGTTGTGATGAGAACAAACTTTTTTCAACCAATTAGATTGAAGCGTGACAAGACCGCATTTGATTGGCCAGGACATGACACTTGCACAAAGTTTCATTGGCCTTTTAATTTGATTCGACATGCCTTATCATTTTTGACACGTGACATGATTCTATTGGCTCATCCGCTTGATTTGGTGTGCCATCATTTGACACGTGACACCAAACTGGGCCTACAGGGAGATGACATATTGGGCCTAATGAAGTGGGATCAAACCAATTATATTAGCCCATGATATTTTTTAAACTAATATATTTAAAATATAATCCAAATTATTTTATTGAATTTAAATCCAATAAATTTTGCATGCCTACGTACATAACTAATAATTTTAACTTTATATATACGTTATAATTTTTCGGCGAAGAAAGTTTGGAATGAACCCCTTGCTCTTCCCATAATTATCCGCATTTATCTTTTGCTACTTCAGATCTTTTTACCCAGAGGACCCGAACGCAACCAACACTACCCTTTCCTTTGAATATTCTGATGGCAATTATAATTTATATGACAAAATTATAATTGTAATATTTAACTCTGTGAAATATTGTTTTCATAGTTGACAACTAGTTTGAGAGGGATATGCACTATTACGTTTCCCACTCCACCTGCAATTTGAGGGTGCTATTCTATGAGGATACTATGCTTACGTTAATGAAAATTGATCTTATATACAATAATCACAATAACAACAAACTCAGTGAATTCTCACAAATGGAGTCTGAGAAGAATCATATATACGTAAACCTTAACCTTACCCGTGGTCCAACAGAAAGGTTGTTTTCGATAAATCATCGGCTGAAAAAAAGATGAAAAATTGATCTTATATATGCGTAATAATTTGAGAGGACTATGATTTTTCGAATCGAAAAATATGATTTCTGATATAAAAGTTAATTATTCGTCCTCATCGTTGTTGTGGCCTGGGGCGGCTCAATAAATTTGGTAGCCTAAAGCCAAACTTGAATGAGAAGCCTTAAATTTTTTTAAAAATTAATATCTAATTTATTTAAAGTCTATTTTTAACATTTTGATATGTAGTTGTAAATAATTTTCTAAAATCTGTTGATGAAAATAAAAAGAGAAAACAATAATGTTCATGTTAAACCTATTCCCCAATTTATTCTCACCTAAAATATTTAGGGGAAGATTTACATTACTAGTTTTTTGGTGAAATAGTAAATCAATCATGATTTAAAATGTTATCATTTTTTAATAGAAAAATACATAAGTTCCCTTTAAACTTGTCCGAAAAACCAGGTTTCACACTGTAACTTTACAGATATTTATTTACCCCTTATTGAGTATCCTTATATATTTTTATGTCTACTATTTTTTAAAAGATATTTCTAGCCAAAGATAGAGCTCCGTATCACATCATTGAGCTTTTCTGATGCAAAATATTTTTCCTTTTTCGACCCATATTGTTTAATGGAAAAAAGAATATTGTCTTGCTTCATTCATTTTCTTTGTTAATTCATTAGTCTTCTAAATTCTATGAGCATGGATAAGTTCTTGTTTATATTCAAACTACAGTCAGATCTCTCTATAACATCATTTCTATATAACAATCATTTACTATAGAAGCCATGTTTTTCTCGGAACCAATTTTTATATTACGCTAAAATATATGTCCTCTATAACAACACTTCACTATAGCAGCCAAAAAAATATCCAAACAAACGTATGTTATAAAAAGGTTTGAATGTACAAGTTTCAATTAAAAAACAAATTACCTAAAAAAATCTTCGAAATTTTGCAATTAGAATAACTCGTCTTTAATTTATTTACTAGTCAAACACGATGAAATAGAATAATGCTCATCTCATAATATACTAATGGTAATTCGAGAATGCAATGAACCACTCTTAAATATTTTTCCAATATTCATGCGTACCCATACACACAACATAGTACAGTTAGAAGGGCATGCAATAGTTCATTGCATGTTGAACATGAAAACCCATGCAAAAAATATTTGGAAAACCAAACCTCCTATTTTCCAATATCTCAATCTCATTCCATAAAGGCGAACTGCATTACAGGCGCCGAGACATTGCATAAAGGTTTTCCATAACATTTCTCATACATTGCCACAAATCTTATCAAAAGTTCATTGCCCAAATCTAAACAAGAATGTACAAAAACACAGGTTCGTTATGGAAAAGTTTATTCATGTCCCTCATGTTCTTGTCGTTGGGTGGGATTCAAGTAGACGCGTTTGTGGGCATAAATTGGGGGAGGATGGCAAAACAAAGATTTGTTCCATCTATGGTGGTGGATTTACTCTTACAAAATGGGATCACAGAGCTGAGAATTTTTCAACCAAGCCTTAACGTCCTTGATGCTTTTGCCGACACCAATATTGGTATGACCATCACCTTACAAGAAAATTTTTTACGAAACGTTAGGGAGCAAAAAGAAATAGACGCTATGATTCATGAACGTGTGAAAAATTTTGTTGACAAAGGAGTTAAATTCAGGTACATGCGTGATGCAATGAACTCATTTCTAGATTATTGTTATTTTTTATTTCAAATACTGATGTGTCCGGATCAACTAACGTCCACCTCGACAATTCAATCAGATCATTTACCTTTCTTTTTTTTCTTCTCTATTTATTTACATTTGAACTCTGGTCTCCATTATTTTCACAAATTTCAATGTTATTATTTCATATCAGGATTGCTATTCGATCCATAACTTATTAATTTAAGTGCAACGATCCTTTTTTTTTTTTTTTTTTTTTTTTTTTTTTTTTTTTTTTCTGGTAAATTAGTTCGTCTAAAGTTTATCTATTGATGAATATATATATTTGTGTTATTGGCGTAGGTGTAGAATCATGGGAAACGAGCAGTTAGCATATACTTTTTGGAGATTGTGTTTTCATTTATGTAACATTAATTTGATAA